AGCTTACGAAAATAAAATTTCGTTAGAATTGTGCTTCCTTTCATCGACCGTTAGCTGAGTGGCCGCCATTACTCCTTTCTGCCCTTGTCTGTCGGCCCATCATGTTTCCCAAATTCCCATTTATTTAATTTACACTCCACGAAACGGATTTGTAACACCGGATTTGCTTAAAGTAACACTTGTTGCAGCAAATACAGTTTTTTGGACCATTTTGAGGAGGTCAAATTTTTTTAATTTCTTTTCAAATATGGCACAAAAACAACTTGTTGATCTCCACTGTTTACATTTTTGGCCCACGTTGACGTCACACGAGACATGCGCAGAACGGCGAAAAAATCGTCGTCGCCGTGGGTCAACCTTGTATTAATTCAACCATGGTTTTCCCCCGCCATAACTCGACCTCCACGCTTACCCCGTCTCCCCGCCTATTTTCACCGACTGCCGAACGGCTTTTCTTAGTTTCTGCTCACTTGCCTGCATTACGCTATGAAAAGGGATCCTTACGAGTTGTTCTTCGAGTGAATCATCTTCTAATGATAGATAGGCGAATTACTTTCACGATAACTTATCCATTTGATTGTTAATTTTGCGTTGAGTAGGGCAGCACGTTAACTCTCCCTGAAACGTGTCTGAAACTTATTAAAAGAATGTAGTATTCTTATTGTTTCATACAGGGATAGATGGGAAAAAAGAGCTAATAATATTTGTAATGCCAGTAAAAATAATCGGTATTTACTTGACGACTTCTGCTGAAACTTATGCGAGTTTCCAAGATGTTTTTCATTTAGAAACTAGATGTATTTGATAATATCATTTGGATGCTACTTATCCTAATTTGCTGAAGATAAGTATACGTAATTGAATGACGGTTAAATTTTCTTGAATGATTAAAATTAATTAATAAAATAAAAATATTTGCTAGTCAGCTTATGAATGCATCCTGATCGAGAAAATAGGTATTTTCAGAATGTAATCATTACACGCAAAATGCCTATAAGCTAGTACACGATGCAAAATGATGCGAGATTAAATCCGGCTTGGCTGAAGTGATTAATATGGAGCACTGGGATTTAGCTATAAAACTTAAAGGGTTAAAATATGGGGGTCCGGAAGTGGTCACCAGGTAGAGAAGCCATTGATGCCGAAAGCTGACTCCTAAAAACCTAAATGCTCTTTGAAGACCTGCTATTTGTCGAACAATTGTGTTCCTATCAAATTGGCCAATAGCCGAGTCCTATTTCTTGCACAATTGGTTTATACTACAAATTCCTCGAATTGGACAACTGGACCATCATTCTAACGTATCGTATTGTGATAAATCATGTAATTCAAGCTTATTAAACGATCCTAGTGAAATGAGCACAAATTTGCCCGACTCCTCATTGATTTACAGCCAGCCAACTTACCAAGCTTGCGCAGTCAACTCTTCTTCAAATACCTCACTCACTATATGTTTGAGAATGAAGCGGAATTTTTTCATCTAGGCCGCAATTGTATAGTGAATTCAGCGTTTATTAGGCCGTATGCCTGTCGCCGATTCTCAATACTGTATTGCAAAACATCCACAGCATGTTGCGGGCTTGAACTCGCAACTCACTGCTTCAAATTTGCCAGGTTGTTCACAGTCACCTCCCATACCTGCTTTAGCGGTTACCACGTCACCTTCTGTGACGTCATTGTGGGACGCCTATATAAGCTTTTCAAGCAGACCTCCAGTCATATGGGCAGGCTTAACACGTTGACTCCTAAGCGGTACATATGCGTCCCACGAAATGTATTTCTCCAGTACGTAGTGGTACAGAATTCAGTTTGCCTAAAATCGGCTAAATCCGAGAAAAAAAAGGCAAAAAAAGCCGACAACTCAATATATACTGGTTTATTTGTAGGTTTCGCTATAAAAATTTCATATTTTTTATTTTTGCAGTATTCAAAATGTAATTAGGAAGTAACACTATCATAAATTTTAGCCGCCCAACGAAAATTGTGAAAAACTAAATCGCGGAATTTGTCCGGAAACAATGACCGTCTGGCAACCCTGTTTTAAAACAGTACAAAAAATGAAATAATAGTACAAGGCGAAGCAATCGGAGTCAAAGTGTTAATCAATTAATTATTCGGACGATAAAGATAAACCCTGCACCCCTCAATAATATCACTTAACCAACCTTAAAAACCGGTGAACGAACAGTGGCGCCCGAGTGCGTAATCATTTTCCAGGGAAAAGTCAATTTCAATAAATTGAAAATGTCAAATTCAGAGAGTTTATCGAAATGTGATAGCGAGACGAAGGATAAGGCAGCTCAATCAAAGACGAGTTCCAGCACATTGTTGCAGTAGTGATTATTAACAGGAAAAGACATCTATGAAAAATGTTTGGGCTAAAATAAAAGCTAAAACGGCACAAGCGCCGGCTGCACATGCACAACGGTTGAAAGAGTTGGGAATTTCACAAGTAATAATAAAACCTTACGTAAATTGCGGATCACGTCGAATAATTGTATATATATATAAAGGCGAATGTAAATACAGGAATTAGCGTAACGCTTTTCTGCGTAGAAATTTATGTATTATTTGGTTTAATTACTTCCCTGTCAAAATTTTCGTACCGATTAAGGTCGTTTTAGAGGAACTACTGTATATTCGGCTTAGGGGTGAATCAGGAGCAAGTCGGCCACGTAGGGTGTTGTGCTTCTATTTACCAGCCTCTTTTGGAAGTCAATTGCCCGGTAGGCCAAATCTGCGTAATATGATCTAAAGAGCAGCTGGTCAAGCAGCTGCCCCTGGTCAAACGCTGATGACGCCAGTCACGCTACCGCATGATGGGGCTGGTCAGAGTCTGAACAAGGAAACCCACGAACAATCGAAGATCCCGCCATACGTGGGTATGCGGGTATGTGCATGGGGTCTACCTCCCGTACCCTCCATCCGGACAGAGCATTAACCGTTGCAGCTAAGGCGCCAGTTTAGATCGAACCGTGACTCGACCAGTACCTAGTGAAGAGTGTTCATTGCTCAATGCTTATCGAAAAGGTAGTATTATAGTTTTGTCTTGGTAGAGAAGCCATTGATGCCGAAAGCTGACTCCTAAAAACCTAAATGCTCTTTGAAGACCTGCTATTTGTCGAACAATTGTGTTCCTATCAAATTGGCCAATAGCCGAGTCCTATTTCTTGCACAATTGGTTTATACTACAAATTCCTCGAATTGGACAACTGGACCATCATTCTAACGTATCGTATTGTGATAAATCATGTAATTCAAGCTTATTAAACGATCCTAGTGAAATGAGCACAAATTTGCCCGACTCCTCATTGATTTACAGCCAGCCAACTTACCAAGCTTGCGCAGTCAACTCTTCTTCAAATACCTCACTCACTATATGTTTGAGAATGAAGTGGAATTTTTTCATATAGGCCGCAATTGTATAGTGAATTCAGCGTTTATTAGGCCGTATGCCTGTCGCCGATTCTCAATATTGCTAAACATCCACAGCATGTTGCGGGCTTGAACTCGCAACTCACTGCTTCAAATTTGCCAGGTTGTTCACAGTCACCTCCCATACCTGCTTTAGCGGTTACGTCACCTTCTGTGACGTCATTGTGGGACGCCTATATAAGCTTTTCAAGCAGACCTCCAGTCAAATGGGCCGGCCACGTTGACTCTTAAGTGGTACATATGCGTCCCACGAAATGTATTTCTCCAGGACGTAGTGGTACAGAATTCAGGTTGCCTAAAATCGGCTAAATCCGAGAAAAAAAAGGCAAAAAAAGCCGACAACTCAATATATACTAGTTTATTTGTAGGTTTCGCTATAAAAATTTCATATTTTTTATTTTTGCAGTATTCAAAATGTAATTAGGAAGTAACACTATCATAAATTTTAGCCGCCCAACGAAAATTGTGAAAAACTAAATCGCGGAATTTGTCCGGAAACAATGACCGTCTGGCAACCCTGTTTTAAAACAGTACAAAAAATGAAATAATAGTACAAGGCGAAGCAATCGGAGTCAAAGTGTTAATCAATTAATTATTCGGACGATAAAGATAAACCCTGCACCCCTCAATAATATCACTTAACCAACCTTAAAAACCGGTGAACGAACAGTGGCGCCCGAGTGCGTAATCATTTTCCAGGGAAAAGTCAATTTCAATAAATTGAAAATGTCAAATTCAGAGAGTTTATCGAAATGTGATAGCGAGACGAAGGATAAGGCAGCTCAATCAAAGACGAGTTCCAGCACATTGTTGCAGTAGTGATTATTAACAGGAAAAGACATCTATGAAAAATGTTTGGGCTAAAATAAAAGCTAAAACGGCACAAGCGCCGGCTGCACATGCACAACGGTTGAAAGAGTTGGGAATTTCACAAGTAATAATAAAACCTTACGTAAATTGCGGATCACGTCGAATAACTGTATATATATAAAGGCGAATGTAAATACAGGAATTAGCGTAACGCTTTTCTGCGTAGAAATTTATGTATTATTTGGTTTAATTACTTAAGAGGCTAAGGACGACTTAATCACAAAATCCTTTCGAATAGTAATAATAATAATGTTACTAACTGTAATCCCACAGGTTTAAATACTGCCGACCCGCACGAATATTATAAGATTCTCGGGAGGTTTCAAGCCATTCCCGCATTAATATTGCAGTATATGGCCATCTAACTAGTAATTTTGCTATAATTAATGCTAACGAAACTAGCATGTTCTCGTGTAAAACATAGTCTTTGGACATTATTGAAAAAATGTTGAGCGGTAGAGTTCAGAATTTAATTAGTTAAATTGGTAGGATGCACAATTGCACATGTACCGCGATGCTTGATCCTTTTGTCTCCTATTTGGGTTATATGTTCGCTCTTCAAATATAATGCTAGCAGTTAAGGTGGTCGTGCCACAAGAAAAGGCTTAGACAAATTTTAACACTGCAGTCGGCCCTCGTCTAATCAAGCGCGAACATGCAATTTTAATAAAACATAATTAAAACGAAACCCAAAGAGTGATCACTCGAACTGAAATAAAGAAATTAGAAAGTAATGGCTTCCCATTCCTACCGCAGCAAAATTAAATACATCTTTTCACCACGAAATCTCAGAGCCATTTTTCTATTTACAAACCCATACCTACGATATCTATGTAGAAAAAGAACTCAAATACACAACTAAAGAACATCGGAAACTTCCAACAACCACTTCTAAAATCTACTTCAATATTTGGGAGACGTCAGATGAAGAACAGCTAGAAGACGTCAGCTGAAGCAGAACTCGAATTCATTCCGCTCCTCGGACCATTACTTGCAGAATGTTGGCAACCTCCGATGTACAGTACGGACATGTAGATCTGAACCTCTGATTTTCGACCATGCAAGCGAAGCAGGCCACTATGTGACCGCATGGTTGGTTCAGGCAGTTAACTGCCGCCACGCGGCATATAAGGCATATGGTGCCCAGACGTTCGTCACTCCTGCCACTGGCACCCTCGTGCTGTTCCTGCTAGTGACAATGACGGTGTTAAAATGGCTGATAATAGTTTTGTGTAGTTAAGCTAAACAATAAACATAAATCATTACTTCAAGGATCAAGTCTAAAGGAAGTGGTTGCTCTCCGACTTACTCCTTTCAGATTATTTTAAAGAACATCTTGCGCATGCAGCGAAAAGGTGCAAATGAGCTGGATTCGACTTTCTGTGCAAGTTATGCAGTCATGCAAATATTAAAAGCATTTGTACAACGATGATGATACCTTTAAAGGTAATTTAGTTATAGCCATATAACTTCTATCTCTAATCGAGAATATCACAGCATTGTATGCCTCGCCGCAGAAGCCTCTAACATAACATGCAACACTCTGGAAGCTAGTCAAATGTTGAAACAAATAAACCAATCAGAAAGCACGAGCCAAGCGATAGATATTTGCAACTCACTTGTATGTTGAATTGCACGCGACGGGTAACAAAGTCTTCCAAACTTTCATCGCTGTCATCACCGTCTGTAATTTTACAAAAAAAAAAATCCGATTAGCTTCAACTGTGAATAACGACTTGCTTCGGAATATACATGATAATATACAGCGACATAATAGTGCCAAAAATTATTCCCTACAAAAGTGCGGGCATACAATCATCACCTGAAGAAAGCTAATTTTCGGACTTTAATGCTAAACTAACCAGCTTGTATTGGTGGTGAAGAATGCGGCCGATCCACCCGACTAGACGAACCACTGGTTCCTGCCATATTTGCGGCAGCAGCCACCGACACCACGACAACTGAATTGGATCCGGTGCCACGACCCACCGCTCCAGGGCCGCCAGCAGCTCCAGGGCCGCCAGCTGCTCCAGGGCCGCCAGCAGCTCCAGGGCCGCCGGCAGCTCCAGGGCCGCCAGCAGCTCCAGGGCCGCCGGCAGCTCCAGGGCCGCCAGCAGCTCCAGGGCCGCCAGCTGCTCCAGGGCCGCCGGCAGCTCCAGGGTCAGGTCCAGCACCAGCGGCGAGATCAGGTAACATACCTGTAAATAGGTACGATTTGTAAATATGCATGGGCGGGTAACGGTCTTTAATTGAATCAAAATGAGGGCCGGGTGGCCCAGTGCCTAAAGTTCAGAGTAACAAGATCGGTGCAGAGAGGTTCGGGTTCGATCCCAGCTGTGTGCGCCAGTTTCTTGTCAGAATCGGCAAGGAGGCCGGACGGTTATGCACGGAAAATTTGAATCAGGGAGTTGCGAATTCGAGCCTGCAATATGATGTGTATGTTCTGCAATGTTAAGAATCGTCGACAGGCCAACGGCCTAATAAACGCTGAAACAACTATATTAATATATTAAAACGTACGTCATAAGTATCGTTAATTTAAAGAAGCATAGGAGTGAAATACGATGGCTATAAATATGAAAGAAGATTAGTATGCCCTTATTTTCAAATTCCCATTTGTGTTGGTCCTGAAATATAATAGAAAACAAACCTACGAATGGCTGGTAGTCTTCGTCGTTCCCTTGTACCTCCTCATCGTCCCCTCCTTCGACAACCCCAAGTCCATCCATGGCGTGTGAGCACAAACGCAGGTAGTCCGATACGTTCACTCTAAGAAATAGATTACAAAAAAAGATGTAATCAACAAAGCACCAATTTGAAATTTAAAATAGTTTTGTAAGCTCGTGTAAATGCCAAACAAGCATTTCATAGGTAATTAAGGACAACATTCAAGATATTTCCGCATATGAACTTACGCTCCATTTGCAAACTCGCGCATGGCATCTCGGATGCGCGTATCATTTGCCAATTGGGCAGGTCTGCGTCGCCGTCTTATCTGTTGCCCTGCAGCGGCAAGGACATAGTCTCCGGACTGACGAGCCTCCAACTTTCGTAGAGCAACTGCAAAAGAATTGCAATATGTCCGATTAAATAATTAGCAATGGAGATCGGTACTTCCCAAAGGGGATTAAAAAAATATTAGGAGGCCGCCCGTTTTGACTATATGGCAGCATGGACGAGATACAAATTCATTGTTACGATCAAATCAGTCGGAATTGTAACGCTATATCTATTTCAAATGGTACTATTGAAAATCATGATGGCATCGGAGATCCCGAGAAGGGCATACGATGAACAATCAGGTACACATATAGCAATACATAAAATATATAACATAAGATAATAACTCATGTTTAAAAATTAATTGTTCACTATTATTCAATACAGTCGGGATTTCTCTCGAATCACAAATGCTGCTTACCGAGGAAAGTAAGTGGGTTTGGGTGGGGCGGTATGTTCTTCGAGAGAACACGGTGAAATGATTCCACGGAGTTATTTGTTCTCCTAGGCTGGCCATAAACGGACACCACTTCCGCCCCAACTGAGGTCAACCAAAATCGCCGGATATACCTTACCAAGGCAGGAAAAGCAGGTGCTGCAGTGCCTGCTGCACGGACTTCAACGGCAGCGACACCGGCCTCGATATCCCCAGCAGGGAGGAATGGCAAGGCCATTGCCATTCGTACGGCGGCTTTAAGCCCCTCCTCCTCTCTCATGGCGCGGACTAAACCCAAACTTTGGACTTTACGCCAAATCGCCTGAGGTCCGGTGAAAATATTAGGGAATGCTCGCAACAACCATCACTTAGAAGTATTTTAAAAATGTTCAAGAATAAAGCTAAAAAAACAAAAAGCCTATAAAATTACCTTAAGACTTTTGTAAAGGCTATTTACTTCAAAAATTAAAACAAAATACATGGAAATTTACATGATCTTGTCGTCAAGTTATCGAAGAAATGCTGTGAACTACTTTTGAATAGCAGAAAACATAACGATTTCAAAATAACATTCTCAATTGAGTATGTACATGAACTCACTTCCAAATATAGTATGAAGAAGATAACAAACAGGTCTTCGACAAATCCAACTAAAAAATTTCATTTCGTGCTTCGGGCATTTACGTGTGGAAGAACATAAGCTGAATGGAATCGGACAGGTTTTATTATATTCAGCGTACGCAGGTTAATGTCGGGTTCACACCATACTGCCAGGCATATGACAGTCACGGTCCAGTGCCAGTCCAATATTATATAATGCATTTATATAGAAGCATTCACACCATCCGTGCAAGGCACTAGCCATGCCATACTGTGAATGCTTCGATTAAAATGCCGTAAAGAATATTGGACTGGACCGTGACTGTCATATGCCTGACAGCATGGTGTGAAACCAGCCTAAGTCAAATGAATTAAATTGTTCATAAGAAATACCTGAGCAAAGTGGAAGAGGCAACCAGTGACTCTGGCCGCCGGGAAGACCGTCTGCACGGCTTGCACTAATGCGAGCTCGTAATCACTAGTTACGGATCCTGGAGCCATGCCTAAGAGGTCACGGCACACTCTTAGCACCGAAATGTAGCTCGTTCTTGTACGGTGCTGCATTAAGGCATAGACCACAGGGAACGTCTGAAATTGCAATAAAAGGCTAAAATATAAGTTCGTTGATTAACAATATTGAAAAATAAATACGAATAATGTACGAAATTTTAATGATTACTACACTAATGTTGTTTTTACGCTGGCAATGCGAAGTTATGTGTTGCTTGCAGACATTAAGAAATTATTGGCAGGATAGACATGACAATAAGAATTGTCATGTGAGCGTAGAGTTTAAACAGGCAATTAAGTGAGGTTACAAACAGCACGATCAGACGACGACCACAGTGCAGCTCTGACTGCATCGCAACAAGTCCGCATTACAGTTGCCGTGACCACATAATAACGGAGATTATACCGCATTATTAGAAAGTCCGAAGCACAATATTAATAAAACAAATGCACATTGAATGCATCTCAAATTAAATGGAAGTTCATTCAGGGGGGACAATATAACGAGAATCCACATCATGGCCTTCACATTGTAGTTCATATCTGTAAAAGGAATCTTAGCTTCAATGGCAAAGTGAAGGTCACTTACGTGATTGCTGGCCACAATGTGCACCGTTAGCATCTGCTGGAACATCCGAGGAACAACCTGGTGGAGAAAGTTTTCGGTTGTGGATAACTAAAATGAACAAAAAATATGTACAGCTGCAAGATTTTCGTGATAATCCTTGGTACAACTCAAGATACACATACAGAAAGACTGCAAAGACATAAGGGACTGCTATCTGTTCATTAATCTCACTGTGGAAATTGAATTATTTAGTTTTTTCGAAAATCTGTCTCCAACAATTAATACGATAATGACTGTACCTAATCAATATATTTTCATCTTTTGTGACTGGGTTTTTCATTATTGGCGCAATTTTGAAATGCGTGAGTTATGTAGTAAAAGAGCTCACTTTAAATGTTCCGTCCAGGTGGACATCTGAGGCCCCAGCTGCCGCTATACGTAGAGCTGGCGACACAAAAATCAAGTTGGTGCCATCAGCGCCCAACTCCTGGACTTCTAATAGCATGTTTTCTCCGGTGATGGTAGTGTTGTATCTGTAATTATGAATTTTAGGTAATTAATTTTCCTATCTGTACATGTATCGTGTGGCAACAAACAATATTATAGCGCGAATGCTTACATTGGGACTAAGAGGAGAATAATATTTCAACAAACTCCAATAAAACGCACCACGCATATGTATTTGTATGTAATGTTAACTATATTGAGTATAAGGTACATAATTTTAACTCAAATTTTTTTCCTCTGTTTTCTCCACTTGACTACATAACAGTTGAAACGGTACAAGAATACGAGTTATAGAGCAAGCATTATTGGCAATGAGGAAATCAAGTGATAGGTATATCTATAGATGAAAGAGATTCATAATGCACAGTAATGAACTTAGTGTAATTTCCTCTCGATGTGATGTTGAAATAATAATCTGCAGAATGTGAAATAATTGGAGATTGGTAAATTTGGTGTGATGTACTCTCCCAAGCACATACTTGGCATAAAAATGAGATAATGAATGATTTACTGACCTGATAATATAATGCCTGATTACCAATAACGCCTGATTAACAATCAAGGATAGTCAATCAAGTACCGGTATCATGTGTGCAAGGTCAGAACAACATGAAGGACCCCACGGCCCACAATACCTTTCATCTATCTGGACCAAAGCCACAAGTTCTCCTGTAGTTGCTGGAATTGGTGGCAATGCTCGCCTCCTGGATTTGTACATCCCGTTTTCGACTGAAGCAAAGGAGAGGTTGCCAAGTGGATGTCTGAAAAGAGAAGTGATTAGTGATCTTGGGATTTTGCTAAAATACTCTTGCCTAAATTCATAGAAATTTTTGTCAAGTCATGGCTAGAGAATGAGAGTTCAAAGAGTTTTTTTGTGCATTTTTAAGTTAGCCCTACCTGAACTATAGGTTTAATATAACTTCAACATTGGTGTTAATTTAATTTNAAAAATGTTGTGATCCTTGCCTCAATCCGATATACTGCAACAAATTACTATTTTGCAGTACAATTGACTTTTTGAAATAAAGTTTCGTTAATGGCGTGTCAGCAAGTTGCAGTCAAAGTGTTTGCCCCACGAAGCAAAAATTGCTATTATAGAGAGGTTGTTTTGGCGACCACATTAAAAGAAGCACTCGCAAGTTTGCGGCTCTCAAGCTGTATCATAAATCTATCTTGTGGTCAAGTGCAGGGAACACAGCAAACATGAGGTGGTAACATTCCTGAGAACGTTTGATAATAGGGAGAATACGTTCAATATTAATAGAACGTTTTACGTTGCTAATAATTTATCATTCATATTTGCCATGATAGTAAACAAGACGAAGACAATAGAGAAATTTTAAATGTA